ACCGATATTTCCTCAGCCACGTTATTTTGGCCTTGCATCAGTATTGTTGTTCTGTGCAGGAGAGGGGCAGTATGTGGGAACTTAACTGCTGAGGGTTAATAAAGGCTGTCATTCTCCACATCTGTCAGATAAAGAGCAGTGTGAAAATTAAGGAAGACTTAGTTCAGGGCTTGCCGGATCCTCCTGAAAAAGGGCTGGGTTTCTATTTGAGAATTCTTATGACTGTAGGAACTTGAACTTAAGCAAGTGCTATTAAGTTAGGATTTACCCATCTTTAGCAGGAAACGCTAACTTGACACCTTGAGTAGTGGCTTGGAAGCAAAGTGGATCTTTGAAGGTGGCAGATCGAGTTCCTAGAATGTCTGAGGACGATGCTTTCTGTGACCAACAGCACAGAAGACAAATCATACACCTGAACAATTTTCTCTTGGAGTCTCAGTCACCAGTCCTTTTATTATTGTTTTGGAGTCATATCCAGTAACTTACTTGAGCGTACCTAGTAACTGGAGTCGAGCAGAATGTCATTTGAACCTTCTCAAGTTTGTGGTATCCATTGTGCTTTCAGTAAGGTGGCAGGCCACTTGTGTAGTTAGTTGCAAGAGGTCTCTTTCTCTCAAAAGTGTGCACACTTTTGTGTTTCCTTTCTCCTGCTAGAGCTAATGAAAATTCATGAGAAGATATCAATGAGAAATTGGGAGGGGCAGCTGAATGCCGGCCAGCCCAAGCAGCTGAACTGCTTTGGTTCTTAATATTTCATCTGAAGAGAATTACGAAGCCTACGTTTTGACAAACCTTTCCCAGAATTTGACCTTGTGTCAAAGCACCAACAATGGAGTGCACTTTAGGAAAATTGTAGAAAGAGTTGGAAATTTCTAAAGTTGCAAGGTTAGGATCTGATTGAGAATGAAAAGGAAAATATTAGGATTGGACAGCTCTTTTTAGAAAGGAATTATTGAAAAGAAGAGGTAACTCTGGGTAGGACTGGAGGAAGGCTCTGAAGAATAGAAAAGGGTTCCCTGCTACAGGTCAGATGGTAAAAAATATTTTGGGCTGAAAGAGCAGAGCCACCGCTTTTTAGAGGGGAGCTACAGCATAAGTGCTCTGTCTCGGTGTGAGCCATTTGCTCTGTAATAGCGTTTGATGTGCTGTCTGTTTCCCACCCACTCCCCAAGTCATAAGATCTAATTATCCCTCATAAAATGTTTCTAATGACTCCTTTTCCAGATGGCTGAGACGTGCAGTTAAGCTCCTGTGAACCTCTTCAGGATGTGTTTTGTAGTCTTGTCTTCTTTTGTCGTGTCTGTTTTTATGAGTAGAAAGTAAAGGCAGTCTCTGCCTGGCTGGACTGTTACAGCTGTCTCGACTTTCAGTATTTTTCCTTGTCACTGTGTGGAAGGCACTTTCGCAACTTGATGTTTATGATGGATGTGCTGAGCTTTTACACTTGTTTGTCCTCTTCTTCCCACAGTTTATTTGGAGGAGGACCATACTGAATGCCTGCTTTTTTTTTTTTTTTTTTGAGGAGATGAGGTTCTGAAACATTGGAAAGCTTATGAAAGTTAATAATGATATTTTATTGCAATAGTATTGGAGAATTTACAAAAATTTTCCATTTAATACTTTCAGCAGCCAAGTGATGTACATAGTGCAGTTACTTGGATTTTACCATGAGGCTGGGAGGAATTAATTACTTGCCTGAGGTCACAAAAGTCAGCGATCATTTACTAAACGTTTAATGTATGACAACCAGGTGCCTGGTACTATACGAGGCTCTGAAACATTAAATATAACAAAGCTCTACAAGCCAGGGGTCAAACCTGAACTGGCTTGTTTAATATGCAATCTTCTATAAAAATTGTGAAATGGCTTGTAGTTTGCCAGAGGAACGCTGCCAAAGGATGTTCACACAGAAGTTAGAAAAAGATAACTAAGAATAGGAAGAAAAGAATTTCTCCTTTCCGAATTCATCCAACATTGTGTTAAGTTCTCAAACCTGGCTGAACATTCGAATCACCTGGAGAACCTGGAAAAAAGTCATGTTTGTGAAGAGACAACTAGAAATTGAAATTTGAAAGAAGAAGTAGATGTACAGTACTGTCAGGAAGCATGAACTATTTAGGGTTAATGATAACGGGAATACGTAACGATCTTTTCAGAGAAAACAAGGCAACATTCTTGAGATAAACTGAGAAACTGAATAAATAGAGGGATATCTCGAATCCATAGATTAGAAAAATTCTGTATTATAAAGGTGTCATTTCTCCCTAAATTAATACATTCAGTGCCATCCGATCAAATCCCAGCAGGCTGTTTTTGTGGAATTTCACACGCTGCTTTCTAAAATTTATACCGAGATGAGAAAGAACCAAAAATAGTCAAAGTAGTCTTGAAGAGGAAGAAGAGATTTGGAGCAGAAATTAAGACAGTGTGTTGGTGTTAGGATAAACAGTACGCTAATGGAAGACTGTTAAGGTTTCAGAAACAAACCCTCACATGTGGTCACTTACGTGAAAGGTGGTATTGCCGAGCGGTGGGGAAACGGTTTTCAGTAAAGGCTACTATGTCTGCAGGATGCCCAGGACATTTTTTACAGAACTAGAACAAATAATCCTAAAATTTACATGAAACCACAAAAGACCCAGAATTGCCCAAGCAATCCTGAGGAAAAAGAACAAAGCCTGAGGCATAACCCTCCCAGACTTCAGACAATACTACAGAGCTACAGTGATTAAAATAGCATGGTATTGGGACAAAAAAGCAGACTTACGGATCATCAGTGGAACAGAATAGAGAGCTCAGAAATAAACCCACTGACCTACGGTCAATTAATCTTTGACAAAGGAGGCAAGAATATACAGTGGAGAAGAGACAGCCTTTTCCGTTAGTGGTGTTGGGAAAGCTGGACAGCTGCGTGTAAATCAGTGACGTTGGAACACACCCACACACACACCCACACACAAAAATAAACCCAAAATGGCTTAAAGACTTAAATGCAAAACATGATACCATAAACTCCTAGCAGAGAGCAGAGGCAGGACATTGTCTGACATACAGAGAATGTCAGTCTCTTAAGGCAATAGGAACAAAAGCAAAAATAAACAAATGGGATCTGATCAAACTTAAAAGCTTTTGCACAACAAAGGAAACCATAAATAGAATGAAAATACAACCTATGGGATGGGAGAAAATATTTGCAAACGATGTGATTGACAAGGGCTTAATTTCCAAAATATTCAAACAACTCAATATCAGAAAAAAAAAAAAAACCAATTAAAAAATGTGCAGAAACCCTGAACAGACATTTCACCAAAGAAGACATACAGATGGCCAACAGGCACATGAAGAGGTGTTCCACATTGCTAATTATTAGAGAAATACAAAGCTACCTTAAGGTATCACCTCATACTGGTCAGAGGCCATCATCAAAAATCTACAAATAATAAATGCTGGAGAGGGTGTGGGGAATGGTGTAGTCCCTCCTATGCTATTGGTCAGAATATAAGTTGATGCAGCCAGTATGGAGAACAGTATAGAGGTTTCTTTAAAAACTGAAAATAAAGTTACCATATGATCCAGCAATCCCATTCCTGGGCGTATAACTGGAGAAAGCTCTTAACTCAAAGTAATGCATGAACCTCAGGTTCATAACACTATTTACAATATTCAAGATATGGAAGCAACCTAAATGTCCATCAACAGATGAATGGATAAAGAAGATGTGGTGTGTGTATGTGTGTATATATGTATGTATGTACACACACACACATATATATGCAATGAAGTATTACTTAGCCATGACAAAGAATGAAATAATGCCATTTGCAGCAACATGGATGGACTTAAGAGATCATACTAAGTGAAGTAAGACAGGTATCACTTAAATGTGGAAGCTAAAAGAAATGATACAAATGAACTTATTTACAAAACAGAAACAGACTTATAGAAAACAAAT